TCAAAGAAAAGAGTGTTTTAGAAGAGAATGCAAGTGTTCGATTACAATTGCATCCGTTTCAAGCTTAGTCTGCAGCCACTTCACATGTCATGCGTAGCCAATTGAATTAACTTTTAAGCAAACATTTAGACAAAGCATAGGATATCCAACCCAAACATTAGACGCCTAAGTGGACCAAATTAGACTATAGTAAGTAGGTAGGTTTGAAGCCAACCATCCTTATTGCATTCGTGTTTAAGCTAATTGTCGTAAAGCATAGTGTTCTGCTCTGATGATGTCCGTCACATGACGGACGAAAGCTTAGCAAGGACTAATCAAGGTGGCAGGCTGGTATGCCGACGACATATTCGAAAAAATCTACAATCACAGCTGTAAGGCTATCTATCCCCTTACAGCTTCCAATGAGGCTAGCTTAAGAATCACTTCAAACTCGCCTCTTCAAACGAAATGAAAGGTATTCCAACATTAGCATTGTCTATCTGCTCTAATACCGTGTTTTATCGCAGAATCAATCTATTTCATGGACATCTCAGTGCAATATATTATAGAAAGTTAAAGCCAAAATCGATTATAGAATATGTGATAAAGATAATAATGACAATTAAAATAAAATGTCCACTTAACAGTATTTAATAGCACCCTAATAACAACATAAGAGCATGGACAATTTGACAAACGTAAAATGTGGCCTTTAGGCAAGCAAGTAAACTTGCACTAAGAAAGCAAGATAAAATAATAAAAGGATTAAGCACTCATATTTCTTAGCATTAAGCAAAATGAAAAGGCAGCTCTTCGATGCTCAAGAGATACAGTATCAAGAAGATTATGGAGGGGTCGGGGACAAAGTAACAATGAGGTACTAAGATAGAGTGCAAAATATATAACGTATTAGTTTATTGCCAAGCGGACATGTATATTGCCCATTCTTTATCCAAAGAGAGAAGAATCCTCGGATGATAAGAAAAGCAATCATAATGGTTGGGCAAAGCATAGCGACAATGCCTAAACGGAACTGTTGTTTTCAGCAAGTACTGATCTCAACAAAATGACTCAAAATCCTTTTATTTGTATAAAGTTGATTTCAAAACTGACAGTAAATCATGAATACGAGTTTCAGTCATCCTATATCGCATAAAATGATGAAGGGGTAATAATGAATTTTCCGACAATAAAATGAATGTGCCTCACAATGCTGTAGATTTCAATTGGCTCTGCTTCTTAAAAATTATTCTCATCCTGGCTGAACTGGACTGCAATTTCGATCTCGCTCAGGCCACATCAGTACCCTCAGCAGGAATCGAACCCGGAAAGTGCAGAGTATAATCATGACATGTTACAACTACACCAGACCATCACGAGTGTCCCTCAGTCGCAAAAGAGACGTGAATTCCGATAAAAGTCAGGCCTCCTTCATATAATCAGGATTGCCGATAAGGCAAATTAAAAAAAGAGAGATATGTTCACCCTATTTCTTTTAAGGCGATGAAGCATTGGTAGTCTCTGTATGAAAATACCCTTCCATAATAAAGGCTATGTGAAATTCAATGGAAACGTAGGGTCTACTCATATCATTGAAGGGAAAATTAAACTCTCAATCCTATATCACCTTCAACGAAAAAGGATGATCTCATATATCTAATTTACTGGTAGTATCAAAAGGCCACTTACAAAAAAAATATTTCTTTTGCGAATACAATCGACAAAGTTACTTATGAGAGGTAATTACCCTATTTCGTTTAAGGTGATGAAGGACTGGGAGTAGAATTTTCTCACAATGAGATGAATGTAGATGACGTTTTCATTCAATTTGACATAGCCTTGCTTACACAAAAGTTGTTCTCATCTAGGGGGGACTGCAGTTTCGACCTCGCATCGGTCTTATCAACACCTCCAGCAGGAGTCAAACCGTGACAATGCAGAATAAGAGCTTGACACATTAACCACTTGATCACATTGCCACGAGTGCCCTTGGGTTACAGGGCAGATGTGAATTTCAAGGAAGGTCAGGTCTTTTTCCATATCATATTCTTTGGTGGGATTGTCGATGAAACAAATGTATATTTACTATAACAATCGACTAGGTTACTTATTTTTTGTATTTGAGTAGAGTCTCGAGACTACCAGTAAATCACTAAAATGATATGTTTAAGGTGATGAAGAACTGGTAGTAGAAACTTAAGCTCTACTCATATCATTGTGGGAAAATTCTACTACCAGTCCTTCATCACCTTAAACGAAATTGGGTTAATACATCTCATATTACTGATTTTATGGTAGTCTCGAAACTCTACTCAAATACGAAAAATAAGCTACTTATATTTGTATAAAGTAGGTCTCGAAATTATCAGGGTTCCGATCACCCTCAATCACATGAGTCGCTAATGGAGCCAATGCGAGGTCAAAACTGCAGTTCATCCTAGATAGGAATACCGCCTGGAAATCGAGGCTAAGAAAGATTCATTACAAACGACAGGGCTATTAATATCATTGGGTGAAGGTTAAATTAGAAGTCTTTCGTCGCTTCCGGCGAGCTAGAGTGACTCTTATTCAAAATACTTGTCCTACCATAGGTTAAGTGAGTCATAGAATACGATTCTTATGTGAAAGGCTGAGCTGATAAAAACGTAGCATCACAACACATTAGAACTCTACTTGCATGCGAAAAAACTAGAGCAGGGCCTGCACATGGTTTTACTTATTTAAAGTAAATAAAGAAGAAGTATCTTGTTGGAAAACAAGACACATACTAATATTTTGAGTGCACAGGCGGATACAATAAAGGGCTTCTAATAAAATCAATATCTACAAATGATTATCAATAAAAGATTTAATTAAACTGGCCACTAGTTTTGTGGGAAATTACATGCATTTTAGGCATACAGAAGCTTAAAAATTATAGGTTAAATTTGCATGAAGAAGTTACAGAAGTGAAGATCTTGTCAAATATATACAACCTCATCAAATGAGCATAATAAAATATAAGTAATTATTGGTTCCTTAAGCTCACTTGACTACGTAAAATGATACATTAACTTATCTTCATACAGAGAGTATACCTATAGTAAGAAACTTGAAGGATAAAATTTGAATTACAAGCCTTTAATAAGAGTTTCGGCCGCCCTCTATCACACAGGTTGATTAAGAACGAAGAGTTGAATTTATCCCACAATTACATGAACAAGCCTCATATTTCTGCTGAATTTCACTTAGCCTTACTTCTCAAAAGGCATTGTCATCCAAATAAGATAGAAATTTTAACAATGCGTGCGTCTCATTAGCACCCATAACGGGAATAAAGCATTTAAAATTCATTGTGCATCTTCAGGTAAACTTTAGAATTATTATTCTATTAAATTCAACGCAGATTATCGCCAAATGTTGGGATCCGCCTTTTAAAAAAGGTCAACGCAGTTATTAGTAATTTTCCAACCAAAGCCTGATTATCTTGTATTATCGTCGATATAATCAAACGAATAGACGTAATCGGATTAGTAATGGATTTATTCAGCCTTGCCGGACAGGAACGACGTTGCTATCAAGATTTGTAAGCTTATAATCGTAGTTGGCCGCCGAGATTTCAAAAGCTAGGCCCTCTTCCTTAGATTATTTATATAGTGAATCAAATTACACGTCCACCAAAGCGAGGACAAATTGACGATATATTCTGACATAGAAATATGGTCCTTTAAATAGTGAGTCTATATTTTCAAAGTGTCGCATTATCTTGGAATTAATGACATAACATCTTACAAAAAAGATCATTCTTGTAATAATCTCAAGCATTAAGAAAGATGCTTCCTTGAACTATAATAAATTACTATTTTAATCAAGAAGACAAGAATATTTGGGAGCGTCAAGAGGCGATGATGAAAGATACAATAAAAATTCACCTATACAGCATGATGATTTTTCCGAAATTACTGTATCTTTTTAGTGTATAGGTTAACAGCTGTAAAATCAATTCAGTTGTAGGCTACATGATGAAGAGATGGCCATCATCTCTGTATTTTGTCATAAAATCCCTACATAATGATTCTATGCAAGTATTTATTAAAGCAATTATTTAGTGACTGAACAGTGGCCAAAGTAAATCGTTGTAAAGTAAACGCACAGAAAAAAGCTAAGCAGTATTGCCAATGAGTAATAGATCTAATAAGTCAGACTTTTTCACCACAAATTTAGAGGTCCCCGAAGATCCAAAAGTTTTGTAATACCAGAAAGATAAATTAGATAAAGTAACTCCTTCCTATTGAAGCATCGAAATATTATTGAAAAAATTAATTATTTAGAGAGATAAATATCCGAAATATGAGTAAGCTTCCCTGAAAAATCGGAGTATATCAAATATACTTTCAATAGAGACAGATGAAAAGTAGTAAAATCGGCTAAAACTAGTTAAAACAGAATATTTTTTACAATTTATCCCAATTATAGCTTCAGAATAGAAAGTGTAGAAAAATGTCAAGACGTCATTACCAGGCAAGGGAGGGATCACTTCGAGGTCTGACCAAGGCTGGGGCAAATGTACTTCCGCCTCCGGGGACCAGCGTTGTTGCTGCTGTCTCTGTTCTGAGGTCAGGGGTGGAGGCAAAAATGTCGTAGTTGATACTAAAGGTGGGAGGCGCACCGCTATCGAAGGGGATGGTTTCAAAACGCTTGGAATTGCTGAATGTGAGGAGGGCGGTGACAGCGGTAAGAATGAGGGGTTGGCACAGGCTAGATTGGCTGGCTGATGCCGCGAGTTTAGAGGTGGTAGATGAATATCGGCGCCCGCTTTACACAGGTTACCAGCTGCTAGACGACGGGCCCGACGCGCCTGTACCAGACGTTTTACTTGTCGATAGCGATCATAGAGAGGCTTCATAATACGCTTGGACTCAGCATCTTTTGGCCGACCATAGAGACGCTCGAAGTATAGCAAACTCTTCTGCAGGTCAATCTTCTCCTGCTCCACCTAGGCAGGACGAAGGAGACGGAATAAGGGAGAAAAGCGTAGGATGTTCAAGATTCGAGCAATATAACTGAGAAAAGCGACTTGTTAAAAATGGCATATGTTTGCATCTCTAACTATGACTTTAAAAGAGCTCATTGAAGTGGAGTGCCCATAAAAATGAATGTCAGAAACGACTATTCTAGACTTTTTTAAGTCGTCA